CTCATACCTTCCGGGCCCTTCTGATATCTGTCTACCTATCTATCTATCGATCGATCTATCGATCTACCGATCTATCTATTTACCTGCCTATCTGTCTATATATCTAACTATCTATCTACCTGTCTGTCTACCTACCTATCTGTCTACCTACCTACCTACCTACCTACCTACCTGCCTACCTACCTACCTACCTACCTACCTACCTACCTACCTACCTACCTACTTACCCACCTACCTATCTACCTACTCCATCTACCAAGTTTTCTATCTACCTATCGATCCATCTATCGATCGATCTATCGCTCCATCTATCGATCTGTCTATCTATCTATCTATCTATCTATCTATCTATCTATCTACGTACCTTATCTATCTAGCTAGCTGTCTACTGTATCAGTTATCTATCTATCTATCTATCTCCGTACCTTGTCTATCTGTCCGTCTGTCCGTCTGTCTATCTCTCGACCTAACTAGTTATGTGTCCACCTACTATCTTTCGTCGTATCTAACTATTAAAATTGTCTATGTTTACGTACGCCTATACGCGCATATATGAAGAAAGATTGAAGCACATATCGATCAATCCATGTACCATGCCGTCCCTTTGGCAAACTCTGTCGAGACAGTTTTGCGAAAATGCAACCGAGCAGGTTTATTGGCTTACAGGGTTCGCACAGGCCTTGTCACGTCTTGCGAGCCAAGCCTTAAGCCAATCATGACGAACTGTCGCCCTCCTTCGTACCCTTGTTTGATCTAGCTATCGTGATATCACCATGCCATGGAGCTGTTACAGGGGATCATGAGAAAACTGAAAAGAGCAACCACTTAAATCAGTATCTATGCATGCCTGCTTGCAGGTACAGGCAGGCATACATAGACTACATGGCATGCGTGCATGCATTCATGTACGGATGCATACATACACACATGCATAGACATTTACATACTCAGATACTCACAATTTTGCTTATACAGACATATACGCATACATGCATACGTGCATACATCCATGCATACATACGGACAGACAGACAGACAGACAGACAGACAGACCGACGGACGGACGGACGGACGGACAGACAGACAGAGACAGACAGACAGGCAGACAGACAGACAGACAGACAGACAGGAAGACCGACGGACGGACGGACAGACAGACAGACAGATGGACAGACGGCCAGAAAGACTGACAGACATATACGTACATACATACATGCAAGCAAATTCCTACATACACACATGCATACATACAGAAATGCATACATACCAACACACATACACACACACACACACATGCATGCATGCATGCATGCATGCATTGTCATGTTTTTATTTTTATGTGACTGTCTACTTTGACTTACAGAGAGGAGAGAGCGGCAGAGCCAGAGGCAGAGGCAGAGGCAGAGAGAGATCATAATTATCGTGTCGTATCGTACCGTACCGTACAAGTCGCATCGCAACGACACTTGCTGTATGTTATGTGGTGCCGCATTTACTTGTATGGTATGCCCAACGCATTTGCAGAGGTAGGCCCCGTGCAAGCTGAGGCCGGCATTGCCGCTGGCAGCTGCGCAGCCAACCTCTTCGGTCTCGAGACTGCTTCGCCTCTTGCACCCGGGCGTCAAAGAAGGGCTTAAACTTTAGCGTTTTGGGGGCCTTGCCTTGCTGTCCTGGGATCGAGAGTGTAGTCTAAGGATCCCTTGTTGTAGCGATCTTACGGCACAGGAATCATAACCGCTGGGGGAGCTCCACTTGCTTTCGCTAAGAAGGAGGGCAAAAGCCATCAAGAGATCCGCTGCACGCACTGTATACAATCCTGACATGGTGCACTTTGTCAACGATACTCGATCTTTTTGGGAGATTTGTATTTGGCGTAGCTGGCGTGGTGCAGGGGCATATTGGTTTTTGTTTGGCTCTGCTGCGTTTTAGACAGAGATTGCTTCTGGTGGCTTCGCAGCTAGCCGGCAGGGCGGCTTCTTGGCTTTGTATGTTCTGGGCTTGGCGGCATTCCTGCATCGCGGCTTATTGGTTTTTTGGTTCTTCGCGCTGCTGTTGCCCAGCCTTGTCACCCCTTGCCTCTTTGGCTCGTGCCTTTTATGCCTTCTTCCCGTCGTATTGGCTGATGCTAGCCCACACTACCACTTTGCATAAAGTACATGATCCATGCATACAGCTGCATACATAATCATTTAAATACAGACTTGCATACTTACATGCATACATACACATGTGTGCGTGGATGAATGCTGAAAGTAGTGTGTTATGTAGTTACAGCATTGTAATGCATGCTATCCTGTACTTTGTGACACTATGCCGTATTTTGCAATGTTGCGTTCGATGCGATTGTAATGTTGGTTTAAGATTGTGTGGGGTATATTTTTATGTTTTGAGATTTCGCGCTCTCCCGTAGTTCGGTACATTGCATATGTTCTGGTCGATGGCCTAGTCTGCCCTAGTATTCATGCTGCTTGTCCCCTCCTCAACACCATCTGAAGCCAAGAAAAACCAGCGCAAGCCAAGCTAAGCCAGATGTTAAACTGCTCTCCGTTGGGGTTGGGGCTCCAGAGGCTTGTGCGCTAGAGGGAAATTCGGCAATAGCAATCAATAGTAGTCATGAGAGCAGTCAAGCCCCCGAACCATCTTCTAGAAGGTGTTTTTGAGTTTTTGTTAGATGAATTTGGACCCTGCCCGCCCCCCGCGGTATGCAAACCGGTCAGTGTCGAACCCTTCCTCGAGGGTTTAGCTCCTCGGTGGTACCACCGGTCCAAACATGTGCTAGGAGGTTTGCCGTGAGTCTGAACCCGGTTCCATATATCCCCCTATTCGCTAAGCTCTGAGCCCTAGACGGTGAAGTTAACCAAAATATTGACTAGCCGTGTATGTCCTGCACCTGTGAAACGACTTGAGCCCGACCTCGTTGAGATTGCTTCGGTTTGCGGGCCACAAGGAATTGGATGCGGCTGGCAGGAGCTCCACAATACCAGAGCGAATCAGGAGTGTTCCATTTACAAACCTAGGGAAGGTAATTCGGCAGGGGACCCTCAATTGACCGGATATTGGTCGGCTACATTGTCCTACCAGGCTCCAGTCGGTGAGTTCACGTGGCCTTATGCCTTCTTCGTGGAGGCAACTTACACCTTCATGTGCCTTGGCTGACATACAGAAGCCAGGAATTGCACTGCTGTCGACAATGACGAAGGCCAGCAGCAAAGGCTTGCACCGGCATTGTTCTCAAATCGGATCTCAATCTTCGCCTTCCCTCTCGGTTCATGCGAATCCCCCAAAACTGTAAATCATACCTTTTAGATCCTAAAGCCTCGATACCAAACCCCCCTATGTGCCCATCCGAGGCTCTGCTTTGTGGTCCTGAACACAGCGGCATCGAAGCGGAACAACGAGAAAGGCCGGTCCCCGATGAACGCAGCCGTGAAATCCTCGAGCCTGCAAAGGAAGGCAACGCCAGAGGCTTTGGGGTGTAGCGCACAGGGTAGCATAGCTCCCGGTGGTTCCACGGGTTTGGGCTTTGCACGCAGTTTTAGGCTTATGGCATACGGCATACGGTTGACGGACACATGGACGAGAGAGGTACCAGGCTCGTTCGTCGCTGCGGCTACAACAGTACCTATATCTCATCAATGGCCGCAGTGGCTGCACCCCACAAGCTTTGCCCCTTAAGTCAGTCAGCCATGAACAGTCCCCCAAACCCTACGCAAGCCTTAGACCCCTCAATACGCCCTGACAGCCCCAGATTCGAAGGCGATGGGAACCAGTTCTTCGGTTTGGCCATCGGCTTTGTCATCATTGCTGGCGGCTATGCCTCCGGAGACGTTTCAGGTACACAGAGATCACAGGGTTTCGCATTCACTTTTTTGAGAGCTTTCTCTTTGGTACTTCTCGAAGTTTTGGCTGAGGAATCTTCTCTCCTGCTGTGAAGCTGCGTACTCTTTTTCAGGGTAACCTTGTTCTGTGAGGGGTCTCTCAGGTTCAAAAGTCACCTGTTAACTTACGGCCAGCGTTCTGTGAGCCTTACACAGGTGCTTGCTTCAATCCTGCTGTCGCCTTTGGCTTGGACTTCTCCAGCATCAACTCCGGATGCTCGCCAGAGAAGGGCTTGACTTCAGCGAGTCTCTTAGGAGTGAAATACTTCAAGTCGTCCGAGGTCGAGCAATCGAGGCCACACTCTTTTATTCGGGGGTACGACTCTCGACAATGCCCGAAGCTCACGGGTCACCCAAAGTTCAGCACACAATTTCTGGTCTCCCATCCAGAGCCGAGTTTTATGTTTCATCAAACGGCTGGAGCCTCCTGCAGCCGAGGAAGCACCTTCAAAAGCCCGAAACTCCTGACTTTCACCTCGGGCTTGGCAGAAAGTTTGTCTTTCGACCTGCAGGTTCTCCCTTGAAGGGTGCCTTACTAATTAGAATAGGGTTTTGTGGCCCATTATACCATAATTATAGTAAGGAAGCCGCAATTCCTCTCCTCTGTGACCGCGCGGCCCGCGCGGCGTTGTGTTTCGCCGTGTCCCCATGGCCTCGGTCAGGAATGAGCTGGGGCTTCGGGTGGACGGGCATGGAGATTGCACCTCGTCAACAAGACAGTGTTCAATATAGAGGTCTAAATGATTACCTATGCTCTTTTGGGAGTTCCTTATATTATTTATAGGACCATGGGCCCCAAAACCCTATTCTAACTATGAAGGCCCCTACATCAGTCGATCCTGGCCTCCAGCAGGTCGACGGAGCTGAAACCCACCTTGGTGCCCTCAGAACCCAGAAGCGCCAGCCATCTCCGAAGTCTCAGGGCTCCTTAGGGTTTAGGGTTTTAGGGTTTAGGGTTTTAGAGTTTGTAAGTTTACCCGGAGCGCGAGCAAGTAAACTCTGAGTCCTAAACCCAAACCTTAGAACCCCAACTACTAGGGTGGCCTTAATGATTAGAATAGGATTTGGAATCAAGGAGGTTCCAGCGAGCATTTGTAATTAGTTGGGCCCCATATACTGGGCTGCAGTGCCTCTTGTATATATCTATATATAATCATATGTGTCTATGTCTGAAACTTATATCTATGCGTATGTGTATATATATATATATGCCTAAGTCTATATCGATCGTAATTTCGTTATTCTTTCTGTTTTCCATTTATCTGTCTATCTATCTTTCTATCTATCTATCTATCTATCTATCTGTCTATCTATCTATCTATCTATCTATCTATCTATCTATTATCTATCTATCCTATCTATCTATTGTATCATATCTTATTTTCCTATCCAATATTATCTCATCTTACCGTATCTTAATTATCTCTCGACCTATCTATCTATATATCTATCTATCTACCTATAGTTATGTATGGAAGACAGTAAACAGGACATAGTATAGTGCAGTCTAGCAAAAGTGTATAGTATAGTATAGTATCGTATCGTATAGTACCGTACATTATAGTATGGTATAGTCTGGTACGGTATAGTTTATTCTAGTATAGTATTGTACAGTACAGTCTAGTCTAGTAGAGTAGAGTATAGTATAGCTTTCATGGCTTGGGGGATCCGTGATATCAACAATCACCCACAGCTCTACGCCCTCAGCCATTCGAAAGCCTGTGCCCAAAGCTTCCAACCCCCATACTACTTTCCAAATATCCAGCAATACTGAGGATAAGGGCCATAAGGTCTCAGTTGGGGGTACCTTCGCCCAAGATAGCTGACCCTTTGCTCACGGCGCCGTAGCTCGAGCCTGAAAGTCTCTAAGATGGATCCCTTGGCCTGCAACCCAAACCCCTCCAGGGCTTATAGGGTTTAGGTAACCGAAGTCGAAACTACGAAACTCCCAGCTCGAAATTTGGACCCCGCATTCCTACGCCAGAAACCATCGCTCTAAGCCGCGAGCCGTAAAGCCGAAACCCCGCACCCTGAACCGAAGTCTTATGCCCAAGAATATATACGGACGGATACAATGATAGTAGTTTAATTTAGTGTCAGCATGATCACGTTAGCTTCCACAGCCGCAGTACAGTACTTGGTATTTCAATTCACAGTAGCAACACTAAGAGATGCCCCCTCCCAGGTCGGAGCCGGGTGCGCAGCGTTGGCGTTCCGCTTTGTCCGGCCCGAGGTGACATGTTGTTTGCAGTTAAATCATGAACTGCGGGGTCCTTGAAGGGGCGTTCGAGCGTAAGGAGTTTAGGGATTTGGGCTTTTGGTCTGGGCCGTAACACAGGTTCAAAGCAGACGGGCCTCCGCTTTTGAGGTTTAGAGGGTCTGCGGGACCTTGGAGTTTGAAGTAAAGGGCTTGAAGTTTGGGCTGTCGGTATAGCACAAAGTACTTTAAGGATCTTTTGGGGGCCTGAGAGCTTTAGTACTGTAGAGTCAAAGGTCTGATGAAGGTTTGGCTTCCGGTGGGTTCAGTTTCAGTGGCTTGAATGTTTCGAGATGGATGATGAAAGTATCAGCTGCAGTGGCGAGTATGGCAATTCCTGAAGACTTGTCGTTCTGCTGCAGGAGAACATGCTCCAAAACCATGTTCTGCTGCATCCGCCACCTGAAGCGATAGTAAACCCAAATTACCTTAACCCCAAGCCCACGATGTTTCAGTAAATGCTTTCAGCTGTAGGCCTGTGCTGAGTCATAGTGCACGTGGGATAGCCGGCATCGTGACACCGCGTGGGTGCAAAACACCCCAAGGCCCTGAATCCCTAAGACCCCCAGCGTAGGCTCCAACACCCGTAAAACAAAAACACATCCACACACACACACACTCACCAAACCCTTTTTGCCTGAACACTTGATCCCGAAGCCGTCGAGGTTTACGAGTTTGCAGATTTTCGTGAAGGTACTAGCATGTGCCAGGAAGTGGGACAGGGCTTCCGGATTTTTTGTAGACACGGCCCTTATAGCTGAAGGCTTCGGGTCCTGAAGTCTGCGGCCCTGCATCGGCACGTGTTTCATCGGTTTGCCGCAGGAAGTCCCGGGAACATCGAACATCAGACAGGCTTTCAAAGAATCCTCAATGCTTAAGTGAACACGAAGAACCCTGGCGAAAGGACTTTTCCTTGGTCGAGCTCAGCACATACGAGCCGACTTTGCCCGTGAAGTTGGCCCACCGTCCGCAGACGATGGGTGAGTTTAGCACTTGGGTTTTCAAGGCTTCGGTTCGCAGGGTTCTGTTTTCAGGGATGGGGTGTTGGGGAAGAGTGGGAGTCGGCTATGTGTTTAGGGCTTGGGTTCCTGCTTAGGTCTTCGGATCTTCATTCCACAAACTAGGTTTCGTCGTTTCTTGTTGTGTTGCCTTGTTTCTGGTTGGTGTGTCTGTGTGCGTGCGGGAGGGAGCGGGTGCAGAGGGCCAGGACGGACCGGAGAAATGTCGAGCGATCGAAAAAAATGCGAGCGGTGGCTGTCATGAAAGCTCCTGTGGCTGGCATTGTTGCTGTAGCTCGGTGTTTGCACCATAAGTTCCATCTCCTGGACCTCCGTGTTTCGTGAAGCTTTAGCGCTAAACAAATGCAGAAAGCCTTGAAGCTGAACCCTTCAAACTCTCACCGTCAAGCCTCTGCAAGGACCAGGGGGCCTATACATCGCAGCCTAAGTCTCAAGGATACCTCACAGTGGCACAGCCACCCGAAATTGCGGTATCCTTTTTTTTATCACTTTGTAGGAGTCTTACTTACAACCTACTTCAACAGTTCCTTCATCCTTCAAGTGGATACGGGAACTTCACCGGATCTTGCCAATGTAAACCAAAGGATGGCCGGAAAACGCCCCAAGCAGAGTGTTGCAGCACAGTCTTTCCGCCCAAGATCATGCACGAAACCTATAGTATTCTCAATGAATGAAGCTAGCTTTCCATGCCCTCAAACTTTCTATGTTACGTGATGTACTGGAGGTCGGAATAATTAGTAACAATTAGTAATAGTATCCCCCGGTAGAGTAAAAAGGTTAATGTACACCAAAACCCGATTTTAATTGTTCATTACTGCTGCTTTTTTCCTCGAGGTGAGCGAATTCTTGGGCACCTTCATGCTCGTCCTCACAGTGGGGCACCTCGGCTTCTTCATCCCGAGCCTCCGAGCTCCCTTTCGCACTCCGCGGGCCGTTTGCGTTGAAGAAACCTTCAAAGTCTGGTGCGTGTCACAATTGTAGTTGCTGTATGTTCGTGACTTCGGCTGTCCTGCAAGCCTTAAGTTTTGTACCTCGAATCCAGCACGATCCCAGGCTGAACTTTCTGGACTGACGGTCTAGGTGACAGGTAAGCCCACTTAGAGTCCTTTCGTCCTTTCCGCGCTGTTCGTAGCCTCGACTAAGCCCCATGATGTTCACAGTAAGGCCCAAACAGATCCTAAACCACCCTATACAAACCCGACACCTCTTCAGTTCCATGAGTTCCTGCACGTACTCTAGGCGCCTAGAGGATGAGAATACGGTTTTGGGATATATTATACTATCAGGTAAAGCGGCCGACATACACTCTTGTGTATAGTTGTAAGAAGGATCCCTAAGGAATTGTCTTGAAATAAGTTACGGCCCCTATAGTACAAAGGCCCAACCCCAAACTCCAAAAGGCTGAACGTGGTGCTCGGCTCTGCCTCAACAGCTTGGTCGGCTGCAGCTGCCCTGATGTGCAGTTCGGCTGCGTTAGGGATATAGATTTTAGGGGCTTATTCTCAGGGACAGCAAGGGTCGTAGAGTTAGATTTGCGATAGGATTGTGGGTTGGGAGTATACGATGCTTTTGGAGCGCTGAAGACCTACACGTGCTTCAACAGGGCTTGTAATAGAAGGGTTACAAGAGTTGGGAAAGGATGGGCTTGTAAGGGCGAAGAGCTTCCGAGATTCAGTGTACTCGGGGTTTTAATCACGAGACGTCGCCGGACTTCAGTTCGGAGACACTCCGCCTGGGGAGCGCACATGAATAACTTCAACTTGAGCCCTTAAGTCTTGAAGCCCTACACCCCGAGTGTGAGACGTAAGCTGTCTGCTTGAAACTCGCTCGAACACCTTAACCTCAAGTCTGCTCAGGACTCTCAGCCCCAACGGGCCCACTGTGATCCTTAATTTGCTTAACGAAGAAATCATGCCCCAGGCATGATTTATGCACTGGGCGACGTGTCTGGCGCTCACTTTAACCCCGCTGTCTCCCTCGCTGTGAAGCTCAGAGGCCGCTGCGGCTGCATCTTACTGTTTTGTGCTGCTACTACGTGCGAATTCGTGTACTTATGTTCATAGGGCATTGTCAACATCGTCATGGTTCTATAGGGTCTATGCGTCGGGTTTATGGGTTTCGGGTTGAGAAGCTTCAGGGTTTAGGCTTTACGGCGTGTTGTTTTTGTAGGTTTCAGGGCTCAAGAGTGTTAGGGTTTAGAGCTTCAGGCTGAAATCTTGTTGGGGTTCAGGGTTTTCTGGCTAACGGCCCGTTTTTTTGGACATGCCAGGAGCAGGTTCCCCTCTGCTTGAGAGTTTAGAGCATAGAGAGTGTAGTAAGTTTTTTTGAAAGTGTATAACTCTGGTGTCACATCCCCCACCCGCAAAGTAAAGACCAGAGCAGAGCGAAGAGGGCAAGACGCAGTTCCCTGTCTCTGCCAGGTTGAAAATTTACAACCCCCCTGCCCCTACGACATCGAGGGTTTCCAAGTCTAAGAAGCCCTAAACCCTAAACCTGCAGGCCCAAGAGTCTGGGGTTTCAGGGCATGTTACGGTGCAGGATTGGGGGTTTAGAGGTTCGGCCTTGAGGGATGTAAGATTTAGGTCCATTTAGGTTGTGACCTATCCGACCCGGCACGGCCTAAGTCACGCATCGAGGGCCGTCATGGTTGGGAATTTCTCGGGACTTGAGGTCGCAGGGTTGTTGCTTTACTACAAGGCCTGCTGCAAAGGTTGTGCCATAAGGCTTTGTGGGGATGGAGTGGCTTTGCAAAAGGGTTGGGAGCGAGAAGTTTGGTGGTTTCAGAGTTTCAGAGCTTGGAGGTTCAAAGCTCGGGGTATGTATTTTCGGGGCAGAAGTAGCTTGGGACTTCTGGCGCAACCATTTGGAAGATTCTCCTGTCCTTACACTTCAGTGGGGCTCCTGTCCTTGTTCATGGTGGCGTGTCTTGCCCTTAACCCCATGAGCCGGAAGTTTGCCTGCCTCCCTGCTTCAACCCGATCCCCGTAAACACCCACGCTGCGAAGAGAGACTTGTCTTCTTTTTCAACGAGCTCTTCTGTCGAGATTTAGGAGTTCACCCTGGACATGTCGGAAGTATGTTAATTACGAGGCAGACTTACAGAGTAGCCTTCAGAGTGCCAGCCCTACACGATAAACCCAGCCACTCAGAACCTGCTCTAAGTCCCAGCCGTACCAGGCAAGTGCAGCTGGACCGACTTCGGAACCTACATTCCGGTGCAGCTTCTCGCAGGGGCCAGCGCCGGAGCCATTGCCTCTTACCAGCACCGATGATGACTGGTTTGGGGTTGAGGGCTTCGCCTGCTTGAAGTATGTGACAACCCTGCAGGGTATAGGGGATGTTGGAGGCTGTTGTTGTTTGTGCTGTTGAGCTGTACTACCACGACACCCCAGTACTTGCTCAGGATAGCGAGAGAGAGAGAGAGAGACCCTCAGGCAGGCAATTGTGTAAGTGAGCCCGCCAGTTTTTATGTCCTCGATGAGACCATCTTTGTGCTGGACAGCTCACCACAGAAAGTCAAAGGCTAAGGAGTGCAGCCCCGGGCGTTAGGAGTTGGAGTCTATACTACACCTGTAACTCGTTTCCTTTCGGTCCAGACCTGCCTCCTTCAGTCAGGGGACTAGGGGTGAGCCCCAAAACCCTGAATCCGAAACCCGGGTATCAATTCAGTGCTGACGGCAACGGAGCTCAGGTAAGCCTCTTTCACAAGATCGGCGCCTCGAGCGACAGGATCTGATAGGCATTGGTTAAGAGCTTACGGCTTGGGGTTGTGGCATCGGTTGTCAGATTGCTGTTGCAGGCTTTGGGCTGTGAGTATGTGGGATGGCACAAAGATCTTAACTAATCATCCGGACTTTGGAGCCCGACACTTTAGCAGGGTTTGTTGATGCCCGGAAAACGAGCACTTGGAACCTAACGCCGATCGAAGACGAAAAGGCTCTGTCAAACAACTGTCTAGCTTGCCAGTAGGTGCTCGCTCAATTACATAAGTTTGGCATTAAGACACTGAGCGCATTGACTTGTTAAACACTGCACTTTCTCTGCGATGTCTTGCAGGCTTTTCGGATGCCTTGAGCCCTACATTTAATGACACCCCCAAAGGTGCAGATCATCTCGGGTGAAGCACTCAACCACCAAATTAATGATGCAAGTGCAATCGTATTCAGGGAAGGACGGGCAGACACCGTTGAAGCAACCTGAGGCACCGGCAAGGACAGCGCCCATTTCTTGGAGCCAGGGTGGCCTGGCTTGGTCCGAGCTCACAGGCTTTGCGGTGATAGATTCCTAAGCTGATTAGGTCTGGCATGGTGGTACTTTACGGTCTGAAGATTTGGTTAGGATAGTGATACCTCCTTATAGTCTCTATCGCAGTATACTATGATACACTCCGAAAACCCTACTCCTTCGCTAGATTCGTAAAAGGACGACTCTACGCAAACTTTGCACCCGAAGCCTTCGCGGTTTGGGGGCTCGCGAAGCTCAGACAACAAGCCCAGGAAGGGGCACAGCGTGGTCGAAGCTGGCATTGCCGAGATGGTCTTCATCCCAGCCAGAAGTCTTTCCCATTCAGGGTAAGATCTTCGAGCTTCGGATTTCAGACTTACGGCAGGGATTCAGGATTCAAGGGCCGGGTGATGGTGCAAGTATAAGGTACTACGTGGGATTTAGGGGTCTTTGAGAGCCTGGGTGGTTTCTGGGATGCCATGATGCTTGAAATGCCTAACTTCCCAAGCATGGGCATCCCATAGAGGATATGAAGCCCAGACTCGCCACAGCCCTGCAACTCCCCGAAGCAGAGCTTCTGCTATCCTTCGGACCGGATTCTTAGAGAAACCTAAAGTCAAAGCCGGAAAGTTGGGAAAATGATTGTCTTCATGCCTTTAAGGTAAAGTATACGGAGGCCCAGCACCAATCATCCTAAATCCATGTTCCAACTTTCTGGTGTTCACTATAACCAAAGGGGTGTTCAACCCCGACTGCTGCGGCGGTAAATCAATCGCACAAGAGAAGGACAAAGAACGCAAACCTGTGGTTGTTTCGGATTGGAATCACTGGAGTCTTCGCATCTCCACAAACTGCGAGCTGACAGTTGCCAGCCCGGCTGCAGGAAGGACAGAGAGGCATAAGATGTACCTAGCACAAAGCCGACTTAAAACTACACTCGGACCGGGTGCCTCAAGCCCTGAATCCATTAGAACCCCGTTCAAGGCTCAGGGGACGTAGCACTTACATGGACCGCACGCCTGGGGTTGCCTGTACTTGCATTGGGGTAGCCTAGAACTCCACTGATACCCCAAGCCTCACACACCCTGACCGTCTAATCCCGAAGCCCTAAAGTCGAAACCTTAAAAACTGCAGACCTAATAGGTCTTCACCTTCGTCCTGTGCTACGTGGTCCTGGCCACTGCGACTATCGCCAAGCCCGGGTCGCAGCTGACCAAGCAGAGCCTTGGCGGAGCCCGAAGTCGAAGCATCCAAAAAAAGCATGTGTACTTGCATACAGATGCATGCATGTATGTAGGTATGTATGTATGTATCTACTTAAGTACCCGTTTGCGTGCATGCAATGCTGTGCTGTGGTGTAATTTATTGAAATGTATTGCATTGTAATGTGTTGTAACAGCTTGTACTGTAAAGGGGAACGTAAGTTTCATGACAATTACATACAACGTGATGTAAAATAATCTATTGTACCGAAATGTGTTACATGTAAGTGTAGGTTTGTATTGCAGGCAAGTGCGATTGACCAAATACGTCCAAATACATGTGTATATATATATATATGTATATGCATGCATATACAGATTTACCGATGCATCCACCTACATATATGCATACACCTACATATACATATACATAGCCTTCTACTTAGGCACATGCTGAGTAGAGCAATGTTGTCAGCATAATGTTGTTTTTGCCCGATGTTTCCGGGGTAAGCCTGCGACACCTCCGAGGCTCTCGGACATTGAACTCTTTACGAGGAGAAGTGATTAATGTTGTTTGAGAGCTGGTCCCCAATGCAAGGCTTATGAATCCGGTGCCCCCAAGGCCTTAACCCAATTGGAATTGAACGCACCGCGGTCCTGACAATTAAAGGGTTCACTGCCCTGCAGTCAGAATGGTTCTTAACGCAAACCAGCGGCAACGAAGCCAATCCGGTCGCAGTTGCACGGCCACGTGTCGAGGGTTCTAGATTCTGGCCTCCATGTGAATGACTGTAACCCTAATGTATACTTCCCGAAGCCCAGTTACAATCATGTCGGTGTCATGTGCCTGCATGGATACAGGGATGGAAAACACATGCATCTAGAGATAGACAGTAATAGGACCATAGACATGAATATACATTTGCACAGACATGCAGACAGACAGACAGACAGACAGACAGACAGACAGACAGACAGACAGACAGACAGACAGACAGACAGACAGACAGACAGACAAACACGCGGACACACAGACAGACAACTACATAAAACAAATTTAAATGCCGACGGGTTGCCTCCCTGATAGGAACTTCTACTTCGGCTTGGCAATCGCCTCGTGTGTCACTGCCGGTGGCTTTGCTGCTGGAGCACTGTCCGGTGGCGAGCTGAACCCGGCGGTGTCAACAGGACTCCGGGCTTGCATAGACAGACAGATAGATAGAGATAGAACATGACAGATAGACAGATCGATTGATCGGTAGATTGGTCGATAGACAGCTCGATCGATAGATCGATAATCAGAAGAAATAGAAAAGCATTCTTGAGTTAAGAACACGGGGCTGGAGCGGAGCAGCCACTTGCTCTTGGCGGAAGTGTCAAAGCGGATAAACTGCTGGAACCCGGAGATATTTGTTAAAGCCGCGATGTGGTGTTGGCAATCTGCTCCTGAGACCTATGGAATGTTGGGATAGGCAACTGTAGATGGGTTGTTCGCTGCTGCAACCCACCAAGAGCCAAGCCTGTTCCCCGTACTTGTCATCAGTGATAGACTTCACATCTTGTGAAACCAAAAGGAGCAAACACAAACGATAGCGCAGTTTGGCGATTTGGGCTGCATGGCGGGTTTTTTATACAAGCTCATGTTCACATGCTCCCATACACAGAGTTTTCTGGCATATCATGCTCCCATGCGCATCGTTTTCTGCATAGATGTCTGCGGTGCCTGACTAATGTAGGGGCCTTAAATAAGTAGAATAGGGTTTTGGAGGCTCTTTAAGGGATTACCCCCAAAACCCTATTCGAATGATTATTAAGGCCCCTATATTAGGACTTACGGTGGCCAGCTCCATCTACTCACCTGCGGGAGCCGAGAGCAAGGGGTCGGCGATTGTGAATTTGCAACCTGGCTGCAGTCGGCTTATAGGGTTTAGGGTTGAGGGTTTAGGTGGGTAGTTTCCGAAAGTAAGGGGTACCTTAATTTTGGGGCCCTTAGAACAAGGATCCTACTATTTTGGGGGGGACTACATTTGGGCCGCCTATTTTCGGAACTCCCCATGTGGTGTGGGGTTTCCTGTGTTTAGGGGTTTCGGGTGATCGGGCTGAATCATAAGTAAGCAAGGCTGCCGATGAAGGGCTCGGAGCTGTACGATCAACTTGTTCATTGGATTTCTTGCTGCCGATAGCCGACTGCTCCGGCAGCAGCTTTCGCGAGCTGAGAATGTTCAGATATTCTGTCATGTTTGACAACGCGGCCCTGTTAAAATCAGACATCATGATAATCGATCGTTCCGTGAAGTACCTCATAGGGAACCCCTCATTTGGTTCGGCGTCCAGAAACCCCAGGGACCCCACTATAAACCTTCAGTTGTTTAAACCCTTTAGTTCTATAAACGCTCATCAAATGTGAGACCAATCCCCAAGATCACAAAGCCTCATCTCATCGACAGTGCACGAGCCAAAATCCTACAAGCTTCAGTTCCTGAGCTGGCGGTTGCGTAATCCAGCGCCAGGCCCTCAACTCCGGAATCCGAAGTCTAAATGCCAGCCCTCCCCCTAAATCCTGAACTCCTAAAGCCCTAAACCCCTAAAAATGTAGCAATTTCGAACACTTATTGCCATGCCTGCAGTTGCGAGTGTGTGAGTCGAAACCCCTCAAAAGCCAGAGCTGCATAAACCTTTAAACCCCGAGCCCCTTTTTTCGCGCAAGACCCCAACCCCAGGCTCGCATTTAGCGGCTTTGAGTTCGCCGGAGCGCTGCTGGCCGCCACAGGGCCCAGTGGTTTCTGCGGGGTTTAGAGTTTAGGATAGTTTAGGTATCATGTGTCAAGAAAGAGGGGAGTTTAGTAGTCATTAGGCTTTGGACTTTTCAGGGTTTAGGTGTTTCGGTGTTAGGAGGTATAGGATTAGGCGTAGGACTACCGAATCCCCTTGCCAGGACTCGAATGTGGCTTAACACAAATCGGCTCGTATGCTGTAGCTGTACGGGTGCAGAGTTGCGAGCATGTCGAATCGAAGGCACTGAACGGACTTGGCTTCGTGTTTCGAAACAAACACGCGCACACTTGCCAAGGCTCAAGAAATACTTAGAAATACGATTCATAGTCGCAACCATGTGCATGCATGTGTGTGTGCGCACCATTACCGCTTGCTTGTCTCTGTATATACATACATGTGCATCTATACTTTATACACGCACACACACACACACACATGGGCATACATATACATATACGTATTGTTATTGTTATGAGTGTGCTTACACGTTTCTGCATATAGTTACACATACACTTAGAGGTGTGGATAGATAGATAGATAGATAGATAGATAGATAGACACATCTGCCTTTCGGTCTATCTACCTAGCTATGTGTACTCTACTTATTCGTACACATAGTTATACATACGTTTTCCCACATACATACATACACACATGCATACATACATACACACACATACAGTATGCATGCATGCCATAACCTCTTCATGTATGTATATATATATATGTATATACATATACACATATACACATAAACATATATATATATATCTATATATATATATAACATGTATACGAAAAGGCATGTACGTACATATGCATGGATGTATGCATGCATGATTGTACGTATGCATATATGGTAATATACAATGGTAATATACATTTGCATGATAATGTAGATGTATGTGGATATGCACGTGTCGGCCTGTATGTGTTCACACATGTACAGTTAAATATGTTCGGGTTTATGAACATGCCTATGTTTGTGGATGTGGTTATACATACACCTGTAAACATCATCTTTTTGTGTACAAAGAAGCGAAAGACACATCTGCGTGGGCGTGTGGGCGTGCAGCCGTCTGTTGCAATGCAGCATGAGCATGTAATAGTGTATGGTAATGAATATATTTTCCACTCGAGCTTCGAAGCTTCCCACCAGGTGATTGCATTCTATGTGACCCATCCGACGGAGATGGAAAAGGAAGCAACCTGGTACTCCTGCTATGCGGCCGAGTTCCTTGGCACCTTCGTACTGGTCTTTACCGCAGCTTGCTAGCAAATGACGGCTGAGGGGCGAAGCATGGACCTAGACCAAAACCCTCCAGACCTTCAGCCACTAACTAGCCTTACACTCGTTTGCGCCTGGTCAGCGCGTTAGGATCACGGGGGAGATGTTTGTCGCTGCATGATCGTCCTGGTGCACACCGAGTAGGATGTACGGTGTTGGGTTTAGGGTGCGCAAGGTGGTTTGCAACGTGCTGGCTTCCAACGAGAACTGGTCACCTACTTCAATTGCTTGCTCCTTGATGGTCATGATCTATGCAACGGGAGCAGTGTCCGGAGGTCATCTGAATCCAGCAGTCACCTTTGCCATTTCTTTGGCGACCGGTGATTGGTCGTTGAAAGCAGCGGGGTATGTCGCATCACAGCTCGTGGGTGGCATTGCTGCTGGTTTCGCTGCTTGCAGCCTGTTCACAGATGTGGCTGATGTTGGTGTAGCTCAGTCGGCCAATGGCACTTCAAGTTGGTTTGTTATTGGCACCAAAGCTTATAGCACAAGTTAGTAATAAAAGAAAACCCTCAACCAAACACTCCACTTGCGCGTTAAAGTGCAAGTCTCTCCCTGCACAGGTGAAGGATCCTTATCACGTATCCTACGCACTGATGGCAGAGTTCATCTACACTGCCATGTTGGCCTTCACTGTGCTTAATGTGGCGGTCTCCAAGCGCAACAACTCTGCCACTGATGGCAACAACTTCTATGCCTTAGCTATTGCGTGGGTCATCATTGCCGGAGGCTATGCGGTCGGAGGACGGACGATTTTTTGTAGGGCAGAGTAGGTTCAAGGTCCATTTCGCAACATCAAAACCTGCAATGCAGGGTGAAGATGAAGTCCAGGCCCCTCAGATACCCACCACCCCTTCATGCCAGCTCCTTCGAGGGCCATGGCCCCAGTTGCCTTCATCTCCAAAAGCCCAAACTGTCGCCTGCAGGAGTCTCAGGCGCCGCCTTCAACCCGGCAGTGGCCATCGGCCTGGATGTCTCGAGCTTCTTGGCAATCAGTTTCCGCTAACTGAAGGCCTCTATAAGGATGTCATCCCAGCAGACTTTTCAAGAAGGTCGGACTAATGAGTAAGAACGTAAGAACTGTTCCTTGCTGTCCCTCTCTCTCTCTCCCCGTCTCCCTCCCTATATATATATATATATATATGTGTGTGTGTGTGTGTGTCTGTGTTTGTGTGTGTATGTTGTTCCTACCATATACCTCAAAGCCCCAGTCTAACTATTGAGGCCCATGTAGTGTCGGTTTGAAACTCAACGTGTGCGAGTGCGACTGGGACACCCAAATGACGGGCCGAAGCTCGATCCCCAAGCCCCTCAGTTTGCATCCGTAGAATGTACTTTAGAAGGATACCTCAAGCTACACCTTGGAGCATAAGCCGGGACCTTGAGAAGTCTTAAGTGTTTATATGCCAAGCCCCTGGCAAGTTCATCACCTCAAATCCCCAAAACCCCTATGAGTCTTGCGGGACTTAGGACTGATGGGTTGGGGGTTTGGGGTTTTAGTCATGCAGGTCTTAGGGTGTAGATGGTTGAATCCTGCTAAGAGTTTGGGGTGTAGGGCAGAAAACCCGAAACCAAAAACCAAAACCCAAACCGAAAGAAGCTGAAATGCCCTGTCTACCAGGCTACAGCAAGGGCGTCGGCATGGGCTTTCTCTGGGGCCCCTTTGTCCGAAGTTCAACCACGAAAGTCTCAGTGTAGAGTTTCCTTTGTCAGGGTGCGGCGTTAATGGCTTAATTCAGGGGGCCCATTATACTATGATTATGATAAGAACCCCCCCAAAAAAATAGTATAGGTAATTATTAAGGCCTCTTACATTACCAGCGTGCGGTTGTTTTTGTTATTGGCGTGGATGGGTTAGGATACAGCGGCCCAACAGTCTCATGGTTTCGCTTCTTGTGGGTTGAGGGTTTGAAAGGCTTACGTGAGTTCTGTTTAGTGGTTCAGTGTTTAGTTTCTTTGACCGGCCGTCCTGATATGGAGGCTCTTGGATTCTGAATTCAAGAGGACTCAGGGTGTTGGAGTTTTGGAGTTGTTGTTGCATGCTGGGATGTTCCTCCAATACCATCAGCCAGGTTACCCGACAACTCGGGAAGGGAAGACTTTGTGGGACGATAGAGAGAGAGAGAGAGAGAGAGAGCAAGAGCACGGCTGAGCCTCGCAGGATAAAGTCCAGGGGGGCAGTCAAAGGCCAGCCAGGGACGACAGGCGGTGCGCGCGGCGATTCAGGGGTTGACCTGCCCTGCACCTCCGGCCTGGTAGGGAGAGAGAGCGAGAGATGAAGAAAGAGAGAGAGAGAGAGAGACACTGTGGCGGCAGAGGAGGGATCCTCGGCGCTGTAGCTCACCGACGAACATGCTCAGCTTCGTTGTGATAGAGAGGTCCGGACTTGACTTGATGCAATACTTTGTAAATGCTCCATGTTCATTCATCAGCCTGAATTCAGGGCCGTTGGGACTCAACGTTTGTGTGTTTGACATGTGCTATGTCAGCTTTGCCTAGAAAGGCTTGTTTGAACTTCTGGGAGCTGTGGCGGCAGTGGCGCTCTACCGGGTGCTTCGGCCGGAGGAGCCCGCTGCCAGACTGGATGAGAGTGAAATGGTTTGGGCATGCGAAGGATAACTCTTGGATGCCTTTGTTACATCGCCGTGTCTCTGCTGACGACTCGAGCGTGCAGCCGGAGTTTTGAAACGTCCAGACATCGCGATACTCGACACCCTATATGAAGTCTCAGCTCCTGGCACCTGAAAGAGAGGACTATCTCGATCTTGACGCCGCTGCCTTGGACAACTACCAACCTTCGTTGTCAGTTCCTGGTCCCGAATTCACTGTGCTTTCTTTGTTTGGAGTTTCTAAAGCAAGTGTGAGGTTCAGGGCTGCGCTAAGGACGCTTCAAGCTTCAAGCAGCAAGGTTATCCATCCTTCACTGCTAGATAGTTCCGGGTGCAACTCCGCCCGTGGTTCACTGAAGTGCATTCGGAGACAGGTAATATAGGGGCCTTAGTAATTAGAATAGGGTTTGTATATTATACCTGAGTTTTAATAAGGAACCCTCAAACCCCTATTCTAATTATTAAGGCCCCTACAGTAGTACCTTCTGAAGCTGCCTTTCGTCAGCCAAAAATACGGAGACAGGGTTTTCCAGCTCCCAGAGCCTGGTTGGGTGAGGATTTCGCTGCCCGAATGTGGTTGAAAATTGGACGCAAACACAGAGGATCCGAAACAGAAGCCCAACAGCTCCAGAACCTCAGAGCGGAGGGTCTATCTAGTTTCCAGCGTGTTTTTCTCACTAGGCCAGGCAGTTAGCACGTCTGAGCATTCGGACGTGGTCGGTTAGTGTCGCTTTGCTGCTGATCCTGAGCCAGAAAAGACCTTCAGTCTACAGGCATTGAACCCAAACTATTTCCTCAGCTGTATTAGATCAGCCAACGCAGTACGCAACACGGCCATTAATTCAGGCAAAGCTCCTGAGTGAGTTCCTCGGCGTCTTCATGCTCGTGCTGACTGTGGCTTGGCGGACTGCGCGCCCCAAGACCCGAAACCTAACCACAGCTCAGAGGTGCTGAGAGCCCGAATGCTTAAGGCTCTAGGCTTTCGGCTTTTGAAGCTTAATTAATTTCCTCCGGAGTGCCCGGAGAAAGACAGCCGTGTCAGGAACTCAACAGTCAACGACGGGACCAATGTAAGTGATCTTTGCTGTGATGATCTGACAAGGCTAGCAATTACAAGAAGGACACGAGCCATGCTAGTCGTACAATGGTAGTGAGTGGTTTGATTTGTATTCATCGTTTCGATAGTACTATCAACTTCAACTGTAACTTCATCATCATATGTATTGTCACTATCTCTATGTATATGTATAATATACACATGCACGAATATAAGTAAAAGCATAAACAGAGAACCTATCGCACTGAACAACCTCGCTCCCACAGGTGGGCCTCAACCTTGTGAATGGCTCCCCGGCGACAGCGTGGTCGGCAGCGGCAGCTTTGATGTGTGCCGCAGACTACGTTTCATGTTTTGGGCGGTGTGTGGCTTGGAGGGGCGGGTTGTGAAACTACCAGCCAAAATTGTCATTGCGTTTTGTTTACCTGCTGCTTTGGATGTTGCCATGCGGTCTCTCTGTAACTAAGCTCTTTGGATCACAGCCAGAAACAGCAAGAACCTATAGCACCTCCGCCAGCGGCCATATTCCGCACGTTTTCGTCGTCGTTGCCGTCAGCGTCATTACCATCGTCATCCTCACCAGTTTCATCACGAGCGACACAAACTCCACCAACGACGACAGCATGACCATCCTGCTCCTTCTGAGTCCTAGTCCTACATGTTTCAAACCTCGATGTTTCGGCCCCGGTGGGAATGGAGAGCAGAGGCTGCATGGCAGCGTAGGGCTAGCTTGAACATCATACCACTTATTCAAGCCGAGCGATCAAACCTAAGCCCGAAGTCTGGACGCATTTAGGAAAAGCCTGTTAGTTAAACGGGCTGGAGTACAGAGAAAGGCTCGGCATCTCAGCAGCACCGGTCTTCTTTTGTCGATGTGGTCACAGTCTGAGCAGCCGCTGCAAGTTAGTGCAGTGTAGCCCTTGCTGTCGTGGTCACGAGCACAGTAGTCCTCGGAGCAGCTGGGCCAATCAAGATTCCTGTTGAAAGCAGAGATACGCGACATAGTAGTACGTAGCGCATGGTACTAGAATGGGCGGATAGTTGCAATATTAAAATAGTGCCTTCTAGGATAGCAGCAACAGCAACAACAACAACAACAACAGCGCTACGTCTAGAGTCTACAGTGTAGCGAAACTGCAACTATGAAGTGACGAAAGGAGAATCAGAAGAAGCAGAGGGAGGATGAAGCGGAAGAGTAATCCTCGTGTTTGAAGGCCCCGACCAGCTAAAGCCATAAGCCCTGCGTCGTGAGAAACTCCCTCGTCCGCTATACCCTCAGAGTCAAGACCTGCAAACTACAACATCTCATCTCAGTCCATGAACTGCAAAATCCCTCGATGCCCGCAGCCGCGACCGGACAGCCGATCTCATGCAGGCATGATCTATTGTTTGGGAAACATCTCCGGAGCTCACCTCAATCCTGCTGCGCCTGGGTCGCCATTCCACTTCCGGAGTGCGTATGGCTAGGCCGGCTGCCATAAGGGACAAGCTTAAACAGCACGAGACGTTCCAAGCACAGAAACCATGTTTCAGTAGTTGATAAGCCAGACGCCGCCGGTCGGTCTTGCTCATGAGGCTTATGCTCCTTTGCATTTAGCAGTATTTTATCTGGTCAGTCTTGCTCATGAGACCGATGCTCCCTTGCAGTCAGCTCCTAAACTGTCGCTCAGCCGGTGAACTGGAGAGCTAAGGTGACCATGGCTGTTGTGGCCAGTGGTCGAAAGCTCTGTCATCACTCTGAAGGCGCGGGTGGAGATCCCATTCTCTTCTGGATTCAAGATCAAGTGGCTGCGGGTTCACACTGCGTGCTCCGTCCGCCTTGCAAGCTCGCACGCCCAGATACAGCAAGGCGAAGATGCTCACATGCGGAGATACACGAATATGACATAAATGCACACCTGCATGCGTGTTAATGTGCATGTGTATACGTACCGATGGATGGAGGGATGGGACGGGACGGGATGGGATTGGATGGAAGGAAGGCTGGATGGGTGGATGGATGGATGTTTGCATGCTTGAAAGTATATGTAGGTGTGCATGCGAACATTCATCCGTGCATTCAGGTACGTGGGTACGGGCAGGCTACAAATTACGTGTACCTGGAGAGAGCGAGCGAGAGAGAGAGAGAGAGGCCCAGGCGAAAGAAAGAGAGAGAGAGAGAGATCCTGCCATGTCTTCCAGCTCTCCTCGCAATATATACGTGCTGTGCTGCGTTGCTGCCAAATTCATGCGCACAGATGCGCACAGATGATGGCGCTAGGGTTGAGTCTTCAAGCCTGTTCTGTGCGGGTCGTCGTCCCAGAGATCCGCGCTTCAGAATTCGTAGCATTTGCAGGGTATTTTTTGGTACTGATGCAATTGGCCGTCACCTCGGAAGGTGCATGCATGTTTGTCTTCTGCCTTTCAAAGTGCATTGACGACGACTCAGCAATGTGTGAGTATGGCGCAGGTGCGCAGCAATGTACCATGGACCACGAAAGTCAGCACAGTTTAGGCATGCAGGTGACGTACACGTTCCTGATTCAAAGGTTGAGGGGTCGCCGTCAGTGAGTCAGTTCTGCAGATGCAGAGACGGGGCCCCCACGTTGCTTCTGCAGGCGTGGCATACGCTTCGACGCAGCTTTTGGCAGGTACAGTCGCGGGCCGCTTCGGATGCATTGTAGACTTTCAGAGGCAGTATAGAGCCTTGGTGTTACTACCCTCGGGTTCCGTATCGTGGGGAGACCACAGTGGCACAGAGAAGCTGCAAAGTGCTGCTGTTAGTAAGGCCTTTACAGGAATCGCCCCGCTGGTAAGAACAGAATGAAGATTGACCAGGTTGGCAGGGCTCGGCCTCACGCAGGAGATCTACACTAAACTGCTTGAGAACCACATGTCCTGTCATCGAAAGGCTATGAATCTCGATCCGACCCAAGTTCTGCGGAACACAGAGGGGCAAATGTTCTATCTGTACAGTTCGAAGACTCTGCAGCGAACCAAGTACAATTTTGCACAACACCATGCAAAACGATGAGCATCCCTGAGTCCGCCATGCGAGAGGGAAGCCAATTCTCAAGCTTCTCGACCCGACCTAGACATGTTTTCCTGGTCCGAGGCTTTGTGTACAGCATGTACCATGCTGCCGGACCAAAGCACCATGTCCAAGAGTTGGTCGTATCTGGTGTCATTTCGCCTCGCCGCCTTGAGAGCAGTGCTGTTCAGTTGCCATGTTTCGAGACGGAGTCACGGGATATCGGTTTAATATAGGGGCCTTAGCAAGTAGCTATAGTATTTCGGGGGTTCCTTATTATAACGATAGTATAGTCTATCCCCCAAACCCTTTTCTGATTATTAATTCCCCTACATTAGGCTTTGATGTTCATAGGGTTTAAGCGAGACCTCATGATCAGCGTGCGAGGACGCCAGTCGAAGCTCCTTGTTTCCTACTCCTTCACGAACAATTGAAGAAGATGGAACCAAACGTGAAGTTGTGTATGTATGTATGTATAAAACAGTTTTCGGAGTTAACAAAATCAAATGTCAAAACAATCTATCTATCTATCTATCTATCTATCTATCTGTCTGTCTATCTATCTATCCATCTATCTATCTATCTGTATATACATACATATATATATATATATATATATATATATATATTGACTCAGCTTTTCTAAGGCTTTCGGTGTGCCCTTTTGGCCTCTTCAGATGAAAGTGAAGTCCAAACGTAAGAAGGAGCAAACACGTCCCAAACCCAGAGTCCTGAAATTCATCCCTAAACCCCAAACCTTGAACCCAAATCCCTACATCGTCGCTGCAAGGTCTCTCCTCCAAGCATCTAGACACACCCCCTAGTCTTAGTCCCTAGTCCCCAAAACCTTGAGCCCTGATCCCCAAGCCTCGGCCACATGCCTCGCCTGGATTGTCCGAGTGCGAGCGCCGAAACCCTAAAAACGTCTAAAAAACCTACACCCCTGTCACATAGCCTCAATGACCCAAAAGGAAGAGAGAGTACATTGGGCTTGGGCCTGGCCCTGGATCGGACTACACCGTGACGCAGGCCGCCTATTACGGGCCTACTGCTGAGAAAGGGAGATTTGGGTTTTCGGGTTTTGTTTTTTTTTCGTGACTCCGATATGAGCTGAACCGTTCTGCGTTTTGACGTATGGAAGCTTGGATTCCGAGCCACTTTCGTGCTGATTCGACCATGGCCCGTGGTACTGTCGGACATCGGTTGTTACACGGCATTTCTTGAGGCGGCTCATGCTGGGGTTAGGGTTTGGGGTTAACTGCTACGGTTTGGTGATGTTGCAAGGTGCTTGAGGACTCTGTGAGTTCGCCGCCACGCGAGCCGTCATCAAGTTTGCTGAAACTGAGTCTAGGAGTTGAGCCGCTGCAAAGCAAGGGCTGCCGCATCGCTGTGTGCAGAGTTTCTAGACTTCTAGACCCAGCTCAGACCGAAAGCGTAGGAGTCATCCCAATTTTGGCGTGAGCAATGCCATGCTTTGCACACCGAAGCTACTCCTCAAGGTTCAGAAATCCGAAACAAATGACACCCCTACGCCGCACGTAAACATGAGACTCTCAAGACTCCACGCCGAAATCAAGTGCTCGAGCCAAGTGCAGAAGAGCTACCGGAGAACGTTGGTTCTCCTGCTCTTGAGTTTGAGTTTTACATTGATGTGATGTTGGTGTTGGTGTTGCTCATGCTGATGTTGATGTTGCCTTGACTTGTGCTGTTACTACTGTTGTCGCTTGTGTCGTTGCCGTTATCGCTTTCATTGTAATTGTTGCTGCTGTTGTTGTTGTTGTTGGTGGTGGTGGTGGTGGTCGTGGTGGTCGTGCATCAGTGTCGTTGTCGTTGTGTTGTTGTTGAAGGAAGAGAAGGAGGAGGAAGAGGGGTAGGAGGAGGAGGAGGAGGAGGAGGAGTGGTACACATAGCAGCTGGTACTGACGATGCTGTCTGTGGTGTCGTGACCTGTCAGTGTTCTGTTTGTTCTATGTTTTTTTTGTATGGTGCATCCTGATGCGTAATTATGATTCGTATTTTTAGATGACGTTGCTGCTGATTCATTGTTTGCCAGCAGGCTGGCCTCGTGGAGCTGTCTGCCACTTTGCTCTTGGCCTACGTCGTGCTCAGCTGCGCCACAGTCCCCCCAGCCGGGGGCGATACGAAGACTAAAAACAGCAACCCGACTTATGAGCAGGTTCGTTGTTTCGAGAGAACGTGCAGAAGAGAGTCCCATACCCAGCTAAATTAGGCCAGATCCTCTTTCCCAGTTACGGCGCCGTGGACCATGCTACTGCTACTGCAGCTGCAGCCGATAAAGTGCTGATTTTTCCCGTCCTTCCAATCAGAGCAAGAGTCATGCTTGTCCCTGAATTAATAGAAAACTCTGCGAAGAGGGTGCGAAGCTTCGAGCCGAAGGCTTCTACTTCGCCTTGGCCATCGGGTCGTGTGTTACGGTCGGTGGCTTTGCCATCGGCGCAGTGTCCGGAGGCCGAGAGCGAAGAGAACTTAGCATTTCTGGGGTGTGCGGGCGCTGAGCAGTTTCAGCTATGTTCCAGCCATGTCTTCTTAGTTGGTTTTCGCTTTGGAGGACCATTACTATGAATACACTGGTTGCACATACCGCCGATTGTTTTGCTGTTCGTCTTTCATGCAATCAGCAAGCAAAGAGTACATACTCTTGCGGCATGTACGAGGGTTTGGCTTCGGAAGGTATTCTCTTCCTCTGTCATGTTTGTTAGCTGCTGCTAGCTGCTAGGCGTGCTCCGCTGCTTTTTCCGGGGCACGGAACCGTGCGTTCAGAAACATAGGCAGCCCGGCGGAGTAGTTTACGTCTAACCCAGGGCCTGGAGCTCCACTTTACCCCGTGCATCGTGCGTCAGGGAACTGAAGGGTTGACCGAGACCCTGACCGTACGTACACCGCCAGCGAATGCCTGCTATGGATCGTCTCTATCACAAAAAGAGACTTCACCAAGGATCTATCTTGCAACTCCCGGGTGGAAGAAGAGACTTCACCAAGGATCTATCTTGCAACTCCCGGGTGGAAGAACAGTAGAGGGTTTGGTACCCTCCACCTGAAAGCTTCCGAAACCACCTGGCGCAAATCACCAGAGACCACGAAGAAGCCTGAGCGGCTTAGCATTCATTGCTGTATCTACAGGACCGTCAGGCACGAGCTGTCATTTTTTGTTTTGTCCTCAAAGGTGATGATGCTGCTAGGCTGAGCAATGCTACTATTCTCATGGTTAGAACTTTAAATAATGGGTTTTGACTGTATAAAAGTCACGGGTCCAATCGCTCAACCCCTGAACTGTTTGTTGGAATACATCGCACTGTAGAGGTGAGCTGAATCCTGCAGTGGCCCTGGGCATCACAGCGGCCAGCGGATTCTTGGAGCAAACGGTTTCAGGGCCCTTAAAGTTGAGAGAAGACAACAGGTTATGTACCCTACCTAAAACGCTACACTCTAAGCCGCTGCCTTGGGGATGAAAGGTTACCTGTGTGCCTTTGGGGTTTAGCTTTTGGAAATCCAGCTTTTGGACAATCAGGGTCCGGGCCTTTCCAGATCTCCGGATCAGGTCCGAACATGTAGTTTCTGCTTGAATCCACAGTCTCCGGAGCCTTAAGTAGGTGATGATTACAACCCCTCCCACTGAAAAAAGTGACCCGAGACTCCTTAGTGCCCCCAAATATAGATCATAAGTAGCATACCAATAAGTAGAAGCATCATGTCTGCAAGCTACAAGTAGACTGTTCCGTAGAAGGCCAGCTAATGCGAACAAACCCCCCCACGTCCCGACTCCTCTTTTCGGCCGGCACTAAACAAACCAGGCATGTTACAAGCTGTAAGTAGATGGCCTCATGCATTCTAGCCAGAAAGGCAAAGGCCCTCGGTTCTTACTGAGCTCTTACTGTATGGAACATGTTGCCAAGTTCATAATTCAACCCTAAGCCCTACATCCTAAATTATGGGTTATGTTTCGCTTATTTTCATAAATTGAAGCCAGAGGAATGCAGCATCCAGCCGACACGGAACCTCGGCTCGAAAAGATATTTCTTCATTTATACTCGTATGGCCGTGGTTTAGGGTTTCACAAACTTGTGGTTTGTGTCGGGCTTAGAGCCTTGGGGTGCCCATGTCTTGCTGTGGTCCTTGTGTGCCATTCGAGTTGTTACTTTTCCGGCGTTGAACAACTTGTCGCTATTGTTACTACTGGTGTCGGCGTGTGCATTCTCGAAAGGATTTAGGGCCTCATCCCGTTGAAGTATTTGGGGCTTCGACCGGGCTTGGAGTTCAGTTGAATGGCGGAGGGGAATTCCGGCAGAGTTTGTTGGTTGCACAGCTGTGAAGTCGACACCGACGATTGTGTGTTAGCTCACATGCAAAATGGGAAGATCCGTTCCACATCCCCGTCTAATGAGGATCATGGGTGCAAGAACGGCTATGGGTGGCAGAAGGGGTTGTTTTGGCCGCCTTGATCGGAATCTTTCGCTGCTAACCTCGTCTACACCCACCTTGGGATTCGGAACTCCAGGGCTTCATGGGACAATTCGTGAGATGCTTTTAGTCTCATCTACCCCCAAACCCTCGGTTCGCATGGCCGGGCATTGTGACTGGGAGCCAAACCTGCAAGCGAACCCTGACATAGAAGAAGTGCAACATGCAAAACTCGACTACAAAGCATCTGAATCCTGCACAACCCGGCGCTATGCTGCCATACCAAAGGGCTTTATCTAAGCTCATTGTTAAACAAATTCTTGCAACCCCTACATGTATCATCATAACTCGAACCCAGCAAATAAAGTGTATTGATATGGCCTCCAAACTCAACCCTACGAAATAGTGGGGCCTCATTCCTATATAAGTGATGCGAGGTGGACCACTCCTTCTCCAACTTCGTCCGCCTCGGGTCGCTCGATTTCCAGCGGTTCCGTCGAAGGGTGGTGAGGTAACGCAAAGATGTGTGAGGTGGCGGCGCCTAGGATTTGCTAGGCATGTAAGAGGGCTGCATAAGACGCTGATTGTTGGGTGAGGGGGGGGGGGGCGGGCAGAAGATCTTCTGGCTCGTTTCCTACATACTTTAGCAGCACACCCTGAACGCTAAGCCCAGGATTTGGGAGATGACGGGTGCTTTCGCGGCGGCAGCCTTCTTCAAGATCAGTCACAGCAAGGCAACGGGCACAGGGGAAGGAACTCTGTGACGGCGTCGAGTTCGAAGGTTCGAAACCGTTTAACCCTCGAGCGTTGAAGGGCTGCGGAGTTCGAAACGTTGGGGAAACTTTGGGCATGTGCAAGTGAACCAACCGAACTGCCAAGCCTTGGAGCTCGAGTGGCTGCTGAGAATTCAGTCTCCAAGCTTTAGCAACAGCCGAGTTCGATCCGAGCTCAAAGGTTGACAGTTTGGCAAGTTTGAAGATCATGGGTGGAGGGATTGAACATGTTCAATGCTGCAATGTTCGAAGGTTCGACGGTTTGCTTGAAGATTGAATGGTTCGCTCCAAGTTCGCTGTTGGCCGGTGAAGTCAAGAGTTAAACCAGTTTCAGGAGTTGAGATGTTGCGATTGCGAACTATTCAAGGTCAGGTTGACAGTTTGTATGGCAGAAAAGTTCGATGCTTCACGTGTGTCGAGTTCAAAAGTTGGTTTTCTGCCTGCCGAGTTGCGAGATTGCATGTTCGAGGGTGATCGGGTTTAGGGTTTAGGCGTTTAGGGTTTAGGGTTACTATTGAGGCGGCACTTGTAGGGCTGTCTTGGGGTCGACTTCTGTGGGTGCTGTCCGACCCGGGCGAAGTGCGAAGCCTGTTGCAAAGGGTTTAGTGTTCATTGGCTGATCAGTTGATCAGGCCGATGCGCGGTTTTGGGCCCAAAGCCAAGCACCCTGTAGATGATCACTGTAGGGACGGCTGTCCGACTTCAGGTCTTCAACTTTCGGCACCTTCATCGGTTCAATTATCCAGGTCTTCAAAACAGGTCTTCAACCGTTCAAACCTTCATCGTTTTTCACGCATTCAACTACCCAAGTCTTCAGAGTTTAAATCTTGCACCGTTTAAGAAGGCCTTCGAAGTTTCAACCTTTGACCGTTTGAGAAAACCCGCTCCTCAAAATGTCAGACTTTCAACGTTTCAATTTCTAGGCCTTCTTGCTTTCAAACCTTCGTTGTTTCAAAAACTCAGGGCTTCAAAGTCTCGATCTCTCAGTTTCGGACTCCGCAAAGCTGAACTCGAGAAACGACTCGAAACGGTCGAACTTTCGAACTCCGAACTGCCCACCACCACCACCACCACCACCACCACCGTCACCGCTGCTACGGCGACGGCGACAACGACTACTACCACTACCACTACCACTACCACTACCATTACGACGACGACTGGTGCTACGACGACGACTGGTACTACTACTGTTGTTGCTTGACTCCCCCATGACCAATCAATACAGCGTAAGTAGATACATGCCCACCTGTCAAATCTCGGAGAATCTGAAACATCCTGTGGAAGCTTAACTATAGCCATAACCACCCGGAAACGTGTAGCCAACACAGTCGCACCCCTTCCCGTCTGAAACCCTTAGCAATGTTAAATGCCCCCAAGCTTTAACTCCAAGCCCTAAACCCCTAAAGCCTCTTGTGCTCGGACCTCCTTTGCCGTGCCTGCCTTGTGCGAGTGTGTGAGTCGAAAGCCTCTTGTGCACAAACCCTGTTCTCAACCCCAGGTCTACTTGGATCTGCAGGCTGAAGAGAGCAAGTGACACAGGGTGCCAGGTAATTCGAACATACGATTTCGGATTAGCATGCTTGCAAAAAGTATCGGGGCAGAAGTTGAGTTTAGAATATGCAGATCGTAATGCAAATTATGACTTCCAGCCTTTCACGGTCAAACATGCATAGTAGGCTCCTTTGCTGCCCTTGGATTTAGTAGCAAGTTGAAGCCGGCGATGTTCGGATGTCCCCCAGTGCAACTGAATTCCCTGCACATCCGGGCTGCGCTGGAGCTGTAATGGCACGGCAACCCAGGATGCCTAGGTTTATCTCTTAGAGCGATGGTGCTACCAAGCTGTTGGGGCCACGGGCTCACTGGAACCGCTGCGCGTCCGGAAGCTCCAGGTTGCTAAACCGAAAGGCTCAGCCCTCAACGCCCTAATATAGGGGCCTTAATAATTAATGAGAATAGGGTTTTATAATGAGGAACCCCCAAAATAGTGTAGGTAATTATTAGCCCCCAACAGTAGTTCTACGAGACTTGATACCTCGACCAGAAGATCCGAACCCACCTTCAGCCCCTGTAAGCTTAATGCCTGAGACCCGAACCCGAATCTCTGACTCGAGCACTTAAAACCGTGTTTCTCAGCCCTACATCTGTAATCCAGGGGCCTTAATTAGAATAGGGTTTTGGGGCCCATTATACTTTTGTTACAGTAAGAAACGCCCAAAATAGTATAGGTAGTTATTTAGGCCCCTATATTAGGGTGGCCTGTACGAGATGTGCGAGCGTAAAGCCTGACTCAAGCACTTAAACCGTCTCTAAGCCCTATACATCTACACATTGAAGGAGTGGCTATCTAAAGTCCTGAGACCTGGCCCGAGCTTGTACCGCTACCGGAGCTGAAAAGGGAACAGGGTTTAAGGGTCCATGGGGGGCGGTTCAGCACTGTATGAGTTTACAGGGTTTAGGGTTTTAAGGTTTAGGGTTTAGGGACCTGTGAGAGAGAGAGGGTTTAGGGTTTAGGGGTCCAGGATTAGGAGTTTAGGATTTAGGGTTCTGGGAAGAGCATGTGGAAGAGTCAGCAGAGCATTTGGAGCTGAGCCCTGCCTACATGTAAGGGACGCGCTGGGGTTGATACACTGTAAATGTGTTTGCTTGCCTACGGCCTACGGCTTGAGATTTCAAGAGCTTGGGATTTCGGTTCTAAGGCTTGGGTTCAGAATTTCAGGCTTAGTGCTGTGGTCCAAGATTCTCGGCAAGATGTCGCTGAAAGCCCCCAAATTACCGAGACGCCCAGTAATACCTCATGGAGCCATTCCTCTGAACCCCACGTCAACACCCTCCTATAAGCCCTAAAGTCGAAACGTAAACCTAGTCAGCGAAGCGGGTGGGGCAAGACAAAGAACCCAAACTCGGAATGCCCTAAACCCTAACCCGTAAACCCTAAAAAGCCCAAGGTTGGGAGCCCTTACGAGATCTAGAAATCCTGAAGCCTAGAGATTTGAAAAAAAAACTGACACCCCAACATCACCGACGCAGACCCAACCAAAAAAGGCAAAAGCCCTGAAACCAGCACATCCACGCACCGCCAAATCCCTAAAACACCGTAACCCCCTTTCGAAATCTCCCCTCCAAGGTTGGTTGTTTTGCCCCCCTTAGAGTCAGGGTTTAGGGTTTCGGATTGTAGGGTCTCTTTGTAGGGCCTAGGGGAGAGATCCCCAGATGCCCCAGTTGAACTCGCAGGTGCATCTCCTGTTCCTCTCATAGCCATTCTCGTATTAATATTGCATAGTAATTAATGATGAGCATCGTAAAGGCCTTTATCGAGTAGCCTCATTATCAATGTTTTTGGTCATACAATAATGATACACAAAATAATAACAATATATCCCTTAGCCTTCTTCTTAGGCTCTTATTCTTGTTTTTGGTGTAGCTGGTACACGATCATTCGTTGCGAAAACCCTAAACCCTAAACCCTAAACCCTAAACCCTAAACCCTAAACCGTAGGAGCCCGAGCAGCTTCTCCAAAGGCTGAGGCGCGGGTCCGGCCCAGCGTCCCTTCGAAGCTACGCGCCTAGGGTATGTTATGTTCCAAAAACCTATGATATAATACAATTCAATATAACATTAGATATATATATATATATATAACAATAATAGTAATAATAATCATAATTAATAACTAATTAATAATAATAACAAAAATAATAATAATGATAATACAGTATGATCTATAGTACACTACAGTATAATAAGAATACAGTAGAATAAGATCGCATAATCTCGTATGGTACAGTATAACGGCTGATATAATATGACATGAAATAGTAGTATATACCATGATATAGTCCAGGGAAGCATAGTACAAGAAAGCAAGGAGTGCTGGGCTAAGAGTCTAGAGCTAACGTGTTTAAGGGAGAGGTCTACACTATGTTTGTGGGGGCTATGGGGTTTAGGTTTGGGGATGTAGAATCTAGAGCTACGGAGTTTCAGGGTAGATTGTGGGCTTAGATAAGGGGTCATGTTCCCCCATGCAGTTTCGTGTCTACCGGAGCCTTTAACCTTTGGGGTTCGTGCTTTCGGAGTCTGAGGCAGAAGTTCAAGCGGAGTCTCGCGCAGGGAACTGAATTTTTGAACAAAGCGCAGCTTCAGTTTTCATTCTCTTTGGGCATGAGCTCTTCTATCTTGCTTCGCTTTACTTCCACTTCTACGTAGGTGCTTCGAAGCCCCAAAACTCCAAGCCCTGTGCGAACCACATCTGGCAGACTCTGTGTCTTATCACCCTATGTCAAGATATGGTTTGGACTTCGGCTTCATAGTGAGCGAGAACTCTGACCATGTTCGAAATTCTATGGCCACGGTTCTGGTTCCGCAGATTTGTTTGTTCGTCATGGATATTATATCATGTGGTGTCGCGTCTTCTGCATTTGCAGGCCGCAATGGCCGAGAAAGTGGGTTCCACGTCCGCAGCACATAGTGAAGAACTGTCTGTTCACATTCGTAGCTTCACCTGAGCCCTAACATAGCGTCACTAGAGTTGGAGCGAGCCAGACTCATCACCTACCTCCACTGGCAGCCTGTCAGGGTCCACTTGTTGCAGAAATCCTAGCAGACATGTGAAATTGAGTCGCGCACATGGGGGTAGTCGAGTGACATGCACCCGCATCCGCATGTAACTGCATAACAACGCTACGCTTTAAATACCCTATCCCTGTGGCACTGTGTTTTCATGCCTTGCAGTACCTATTTTAGCACCTCCTTTCAGGCCCAAGTATTTACTGTATGGGTACATGGAGCACCTCCGGTGTACCTCCTCAAAACTCAGTGGAGTTCCTAAGTTCTCTAACGCCATGATGCGCGGCATCCTCCAGCTCACACCGTGGCTGAAGCAGGTGGTCATCTGGGGTTGCTTTTCGGGGCGTAGAGTATCACAGACTTGGCGCAATGTAAACTTCATACTATGTATCATATAACGTCACAAGTATAACTTAGTTTCATATTCACAGACAAACGCAACAGTCACTGAATGTATATCTGCATGTGTAGGTATGTGTCTATATACAGGTGTATATAGGTAGGTAGGTAGGTAGGTAGGTAGGTAGGTAGGTAGGTAGGCAGGCAGGCAGGCAGGCAGGCAGGCAGGCAGGTAGGTAGGTAGGTAGGTAGGTATCACCGCCTTCAGTTCTGCATGTTCGTGTGTTTCTGGTGTTGTACACAGGGCGTTCTTCTATGTTGCGCTCGTCTTGATCTGCTTCGAAACTCTGTGTCTGTTTCGAAACAACCCGGTAGCCCCAACCCATTGACCCAATCATTCTGGCCAAACGGACTTGGAAGGCCCCAACCCTGTAACCCATTAACCCAATCACTCTGGCCAAATAGACTTGGCAGGCCCCAACCTAATCCATTAATCCAATCATTCTGGCCAAATGGACTTTGGAGTAGGATCCATCCCGACTTGGGCAACTCATTGGGTTCATGGGTTACGGCTACAGCCTACTCCCAAGTCCATTTTGCCAAAATGCCTGGGTTAATGGGTCAACGGGTTCATGGGTTAATGGGTTGGGCTCCTGGCAGGCGCGTGTTTCGAAACATACGTTGTGCTCCGAAACGCACGCATGTTTATACTCCAGTCTTCAAGGCGCAAAGTAGGATCCTTAATCCAGGATATATTCACCAGGTCACATTGAACTATGTTGCCCTTTCTTACATAATGTTCAAGATGTACGACCCTCCCCTGCCCTGCTGCGGCTGAAGATGTTGCAAATGTATATGGCTGTCTTACTTATACCATCTGTATGCGTTCTACAATATACGAAACCAGACAGTAATCTACTGTAGACTTTGCTATAAGCTATAGACTACACTACAAACTATATTGCAAACTATACTATAGACCAGAGACTATACTCAGACTATACTATAGACCATCGATTTTACTAGAGACTGTACTATATGCTATACTAAAGACTATACGTTGAGCTCAAGGAAACACTATAAGACACACCATGCCATAGACTATGCTTTGTAGTATACTATATACTATGCTATATCTGTGTACTATATTGTATGCTACATTATATACTACCTTAAACTGTTACAGTTTACTATACTCTACTCTTCTGCTCTTTGTTTTACTTTACAAGTGCCACGTGAGACTCTGCGAATTACACACGATATAGTTAACATGATACATAAGCCCACGGAATGATATTCGATCATGCAGTGTTGCATATGTTAGTCTGCTAATCTGCTCTTGCAAACATTGTGTTGTGCTGTTTGGTGCTGCATTAGTTATTTTGAGTTAGACATAGACCACAATGGACCATAAATTATAAGATTACGTTACATGTGTTAACAAGAGCTTGGTTAGAGATTATGCCAACTCACTAAACATCTTAGTACGATGAACTATGATTCTTGACATTCTCATACTTTGCAATAGTAGGTTAAGACATGCCACGCTACGGCCGAGGATCTTAGACTTTATTGTGTCATATAGCGTTGTCTACTGTGTATTATCTTTGCAGATTACGTCGCATCCAAATGTTTACTGTACCATGCCAGATTAAATCATGTTGTATTGGAGCATACTCTGCTCTATCATGGATTATGTTATTGGGTACTATACGATACCCTATCAGTTTAAAGCATGATCCGTGATCCTTTACATCATTAGTTTTATTTTGCAAACATTAACCATGAATACTGTGTAGACTGTGTTATGGCATTATGAAAATGATTTCCATCCTGCTAGGTTACACTCTGTCTTATTTCATGTTCATTGTGTTGCGCGAAAGACTACAAATTTTAAATATATTGTTTTTATGTCTTCTGTACTGTGTATGTACCGAGTATTCTGGGATGTGTATTGGAATAAGTGGATTTATACCATACTTCGCGACATTCTGCCGCACATTACCTGATCTTGCATAATCTTGTCATATCTATACCGTCTTCTATGCCATATCAACCAGTATTGTGCTATATGTTTTTGTTAGTGTATTGCACCATCCTTTGCTGTCATACTGAAATGTTGAGTTTGACACTTGTTTACGTCGCAACCGGTAGCTTCGCAAACTGCGGTTACCTTCAGATGAACCATGCACCCATATAGGTATTGATGTATGTACATACAAGATATATATATATATATATACTTATTTATTTATTTATATTCAAGTTATCAGGGACAACCGCATGCACAATCACACGCACACACACACACACACACGCACCCGTCAAGCAGCAGGTATCGTTGTTCTGATGTTCCATACATGGGATCCCTCCCTTCCAGCTGAGACTTTTTTCATAATCTCATGGGTCTTGTAAGATGGTGTCGGACTATATACGGCCACTTCCCACGCCGTCATGGCTTGCAGGTGTCTTAAGCCGCAATAAGATGTTATATTGACATGGACTGCTTGTTTTGGCCATTTACCGTCAGAAACTTTGCGTGAAGAGTGTGTATCCAAAACGGAACTCTTGCGTAGAGCAAAAGACACAATGCAACAAAAGGTCCCTATTCTGCGAAGAGGAGAAGGATGCTGGCAACAGAGCGAGGCCTGAGAGCTTTGCGCTCACTTTTGCCGCCGACATCGTTTTTTTTTTGTTTTACGGTTTAGGGTTGAGGGTTTGCAAGCCCTGTCTTGCTGGCCATGTGTTTCTTCGGCGACAAGCAACCCTGCACCCGTTACTTCGGAGCTGAGGTTTCAGAGCTCTGGCCCTCGACTTCTTTTTCCGATTACAGGGAGCGTCTGTCTGTTTCGAGATGTCGAACTGCACCATGAGTTTTTGCGCATGCATCCTGGAATCATTCGCTGGTAAGCACAACGAGAAGTCTGTTCATGCAAGTGGGTTTGCAAGCACTGGCCGATAAAGCGGAGGAAGGTAAACCAAGATCAAGTGCAGCAGGGGAATTACGACAGACTAAGCGTACTTCACTCGTCAACTTGTGTGAGGTAAGGCGGCACCAAAGGAAAGCTGTCCTAGATGGTAGACTTCTGGTGACGACCACTGCAAAGGGCAAGGCCGAGGAAAGTTTGTCGATAGCACAGCTAAGTCCTGCGAACAGAAGTTCAGGCGTATCAGTTTCAGTGAAGCTAGAGTAGCAAGTGAATGTAAAGGAGAGGGTATGCGAATCAACCAAAGCCGAACAAGAAACGGGAAAGGACGACTGGGAAACACGCTTTGGAAGTACAGATCACGCATTGAGCCAAGTCAACGACGAAGCGAAGTAACGAAACGATGCACAAACACAGAGTCGAGCTTGATCACGGCAAGTCAAGCCGAATCGGGCCAAGTAGCACGCTACCGACAAGCACATCGCAGTGCATCGCACATGCAATGGAGCGCAGCTTGTATGAAACATAACCCAACAGTAGAGCAGGAGTGGGACAGCTGGCACTTCTTGTTCGGATGCTTCTTCGCTTGCGTGTTCTTGAACCTGCAGGCTTTTGAAGACAACAAAGCTGGAACGGTGCCCGAGTAGGAACAAAGAGGGAGGCCTTGTGAGGATTCAACAAGACTTCGAAAGCCTTAGGCTTCAGCTCTCGTCGTTCACTCATCGTAGCCTGGCTAGGGCTCATTTCGTGCAGACTTCAGAACTGTCCAATGTTGAGAGGTCCAATCATTCTTGCTGGTATTGTCAATCTGAGTATTGGTGTTGCTATACTGTAATTATGCGTGCTCTCAGTGCGTGCAAGTGTCAGTTCAGTCCTTCGTCGTGTTTGACACTGCCCGGAGCAGGCCAAGTGGGTTGTCTGCGGTGGGGTAGGATGGGATATGGCCACCGCATACACAGAACCCTCGCCCCCACCTGTGTGCACATGTCTTGCTACTGTCAGGTTGCAGCGTTGGTTTGATCAGATGCCGCGCATTTCACAGCTTTGTGAGCTGAAAAGTCCCGCCCGCCCTCCCTAGAAGGGGTAGGTGACGGTGCATGGACGGCTGGCGGATGCCAGCATTCGTGTGTGTTATCACTTATGGCCCAATGGCCGGAGATTTACTTGACAGGGACGGACGGGGCGGGCATGTGTCGTATGGTTTCTAGTGTGCGCTACAGGTGCATTGAGGGTTGCAGCCGAAGGCATTGAAGATCCTAGCTGGCGAAACCTAGCAGTACATCCTAACTTGTCCATATCCAAACCCGAAGACAAATTCACAATGCGTAAGACGCGTGAGGCTCGCAGGCCACGATCCGTCACGGAGCTGGCGCGGCCGGAGAAGGCCGTGCTGTTTGATCTTTGCGGGCTGGTGTCAGAGTCTACAGACTCTAAGCGCTTCTTAGCTGGGATTGAGTTTTTGCGGCTTGGGGTCTCTGGAATGTGCCCGTGCATCATTAGAGTTTTAGTACATTGAAGGTTACTCAGTACCACAGCCCTCTTACAATTAAGCGGATCGACGACCTGCTAATCTTCGTTATCGCAAAAGCCATATCATGTTCATCCGACGCCAACGAGACAGCAAGTGTCCAACATATGCAGGTCATGTGCCATGTGTTCGGCTTTCCTCCTTAGTGTACGCAGCAACGACGAACTCCGAAATGCGGTGGTTTTGGTATGAACCCTGCCTAAACCCTACTAAAGCCCTAAACCTGAAAAGCTCTAAATGGCTCCGAAAGTCATGTCATGCGTTTGGGATGCTTCGGCGCATCGTTCCATGTTCAGCCCCTTCTAAACTTTTCTTAATCGGGCATTATTACGCCTGGTAGGCTGCGCCTGCTGTCTCTGATCACTATGGAAAGCAATAATGAGTTTGCTTCGGTGGTAGCAGTACTGCCGCGTAGGATTCGGAGTCCTTCCTGGTCTGGTTTCGAGCCTCTCAGAGGTCATGGGAGACGAATCCAAGGGAGCTTTCGGTCGGCGTGTGGCAGCGCTCGGGCCGCTCATGGCTTCGCGGGTTTAGGGTTGAGCGGTTCATGAGTTCATGAGCTTGTTCATGTGCCTTGTCGGTGTGTCCTTCAGTGTGCTTGTTTGTTGCCTTTTCATCCGAAGTTGCGTGTGGTTTGATTATTTTTCGTTTGTGGGACTTCTATCCTGTCTGTCCGGGTCTAGCTGCTAGTTGGTCTTGTGTTTCTGTGTTTTTGCCGCTGTTTCCCTGGTCTTCTGTCATCAGCAGGTGCTTGTTCGCAGCGCGTCGTGCATTCGGCATGTGACTGCACGGTGCAGATCCCCAAAGCAGAGTCTCGGAACCTGCATATCCCAAGTCTAACCGATGCAGCAAACGAGTGAAGCCCCAAGCCGGGAATAGTCAACGCCTAAGACGCTGCTTCGTTAAGGGTTTAGGGTGACTGTGACTTATCGTGATTAGAGGTCCATCTGCGACTTGGTATTTTCAGAAGACTGCGAGCAAGAGGTAACGAGATGGGAAGATGAATGAGTGGGTATGATGCCTCTACTGCAGTATCGAGACGTGCCGACCATCTAGGCAAAGGTTTCCGGTAAGGTTTCGGTTTCAGACCTGCAAAACACCTCCGCGAGAAGCTCAACCCTTTGTGGTCTCTGGGTATGACCCAGGTAGCAGTGGCTTTCAGCACCGTGCTGGCACGCCCACGTCGTGCTATGGCTCTATCAGTGGCCACTGCAACGGACCCGCGCATTCATTTTTTCGGAGCTTCAAGTTAGTATCTTCTTTTGTGTGGCTGCGAAGTCGAGCACTGTACGGCTTCCCAGAGAAGTCCCTTGTGTTGTGGTTCCGCAAACGATCATGCCGAAGCACCGAGATGGCGAGTTGCGGAATCTCTCGGTTCGCGACGTTCGGGAACGGGAGGTCGTTCTGTGTGTGGACTATAGAGGCTTTGCAGAGGAAGTTTGAGATGATAGTTTCCGGGGCTAAGATTGGAACGGCGTGAATTATAAGGTCGTGCATTTGGGGTCGAAGGTCTTGAACTTTCAGCTTGGCCATAAACTCCAACAATTACTAGTCCTCGTCTGGGTACTTTTAAAAACCAATCCCTCAACCTCAAGCCCTTTGCTTGACGTGGCTTGCGATGCTTCTCCAAGAAGCCCTCAGAAAAGAAGCGGTGCAGGAAGACGAGGTGGTGAATGTCGTTGATGGCGACACAGCATCTCAATGGCAGCCCCAGTTTTGAATCTCACAGCCAGGACAAGCTCGTCCGCAGGACTTTCTGGCGGTCTAAGGTTGAAGGATTAGGTTCTAGGCTTAGGGATGAGGGTCTGGAAAACTGTATATCACGGAACGACTAAACTTTAAATCTTCTGCTGCGTCCGAAGGTAAAGCTGAAGCAAGCTGGCCGCTGCCGACTCATCGGTGTAAACACCCCGGAGACGGTGGCTCCGAGGTCTGGGACCCGGCTTCAAGAGTACTTGAAGCCAGAAGGGGATTTTGGGCTGTTTGTGTTCTTGCCTTGAATTTTGAGATATATTGGTCCATGTGCGACACGACTGGTCTGGGATGAAGCATGGCAGAGTCGATCTTCAAGGCTAGACAATACGCACCGTCTTTTCTGAAGTCTTTCTCCTACGGCCGGCCTCGAACCCACTTCCTCCGACGTCGCCCTACCGCTTGCGCAAAGCCTGTTGTGCCGTCTAAACCATGAAGAGCATGTATACCCACATGGTCCGTCGTAAGCAAGTCTGAGCGAGGCACACAGCCAGTTGTCGCGCAGGCAGAAGGAAGGTGCCCCGCCCGACTGCTATGGGCCAGAGGCATCGGCTCTGACGAAGGGCCTGTTGCTAGGCTGCACGTGAGCCCTTTGGGCTTGATGATGTGAGGTCACACAGTCGATCCTTAGTCCAGGCTGTAGGCAAGGAATAGTCAAGATCACGTACTTGTATGTTACAGGGCAAAGCAAAATTCATCTTCCAAAAGCAGTTGACGTTATAAAGACGGTCACCAGCCAGCGTGAAACCATTGTTCTGCTTAGCGCCTCCATGAGTCCTGCCTCCCAGTGCCTCATCAATCAATGAAAACTGCCAAGTCAGAAGCCCGCGAAAGATTACAAGCCATGAGGCCCGCACGGCGCTTGGTACACTCACATGAAGCGTCACATCTTTGAACATGTGAGACTGTTTCTGTCGAGGCTACCACCGGGCAGCAAGGTTCGGATCGAGTTCGATGTGGAGCCCACGGACAAGTATGGCCGACAACTCGTATATGTTTACAGGCATCTATAGTGCTGCATCCGACCTCAAGAAACACTTTTCCGTGTAGCTCTCTGAGCCAGATCACAGATAAAAATAAACTGAACCGCTTGGCTTTACAACTTGTTGTGGGCACGGCATAAGACCGTATTGGTTGACATCCAATATCAGTGTTCATCAAAGAGCTACGGGTGAGGCTCTAGCGGGTCGCGGCAGGAGCGTAGACAGTTTGACCAGGATGTCTGCCTTTGCCGTACCTTTTTGTGTCGTGCTTTTGTTCTCAGATGCCCGAATCCGTCAAACCTTGATCAGTGACAGCTGGTCGAGGGCGACCGACGGCCTCTTCATCAACGGCGAGTTGGTAAAGAAGGGGGCCGCAAGGCATGCCGTGTTACTGGGGACTTCGGGCTTTTGGAACTTGTTCAAGCGGCTTTGAATCGAAGTGCGTAGCTCTCGGTGTTGAGCGTTGTCTCTCTGTGGAGCGTTTTTTGTTTGCAGGCTTTGTTTCTACTGTAGCTTTTGTTGTCATTGTGTGTGTGTGAACCCCACCGAGGCGCTTGTGGAGTATTGCGTCACAGATCTTTTGCGCTCGGGGGAAATCGACTTTAAAGGTAGGTTAGATTAGTACTCGCTAAAAGCCCCATTGAGCTGTAAAGCTTCGAGCCTGCAAGCCCTACACCATCCAATTTGTCGGCAGCAGGCGCCTGCGGGTTCCTCCGAATGTGCGGTACGACGACTTCTTCACAAAGCTGGACGGGATTCCCATGCAGCACTCTGACATACTCAGAGGTTCCATTTCCTGTCAACAAATATCCTCAGACTTTGGAAGAATTTGCAACTTGGCCGAAGGGAACCGTCCAGGGCGAGTCGCGATTAACCTGAGCAGAAGACGCTTAGAGGGGAGCATGGTTTGGCAGAATGCGATCTATCCTACCTTAAGAACCCAAAACCTACTTTTTTATAGGAGGGTTTACAATAAGAACCTACAAAAAAGTGGGTTTTGGGTTCTTAAGGTATAGGTTACTTGTGTCAGCCCCCGGCGGCCCTTGACCTCTATCAGACTGAACCCTAAACCCTAAACCCTAAACCCTAAACCCTAAACCCTAAACCCTAAACTGAACATGGGCGTACATGCGTTTGCAGAAGCCCAAGGCTCCCTTGGGATTTATCGCGCCGCAGTCCGACAAGATAGTTTAGGCTCTGGGGCCTTAGGGCTCAGGACCCTATACCCTAAGGGTCCCTGCACCCAAATAGTATGTACTTTGGCCCCGAAGTACCAAAATAGGGAATACTTTAAGGCCAAAGTATATACTTTTTGGGCACATGGACCCTTAGGGATAGATAACCCCTATCCTAAAACCCTACGGTGAGGAGACGGATGCGCGTGCGGCTCGCGTCGGGTTGTGCCTTAGTTGCTGTGGCTTCAGGTCGAAGAGTTCGGGCTCAGGGACCGGGGTTGGAGATTACAGGTATAGGTTTATAGGGTCTAGGGATTTAGGGTTTAGGATTGAGGTAGGATGTAGGGAACTTATTAGAGGTTAGGGTTGGGGGTTTGGGTCGCGAATTAAATAGCTGCAGACTTCGAGTTGCTGAACTCGGATGGCCGAGGGTTTCTGATGCCTGCCCACGCTTTCAGTTATGGGTTATAGGGTTCAGTTCGGGTGCAGGGTTCAGGATTTGTTCGATTTCATTAGCCTCAGAATCCTGTGCAGGTTCCATGGTCGAAAGTTGTGGCCCTTCAAGGTATGAAGTTGAATCCGAAGCAGGCCTGCAGCGAAGCACTCATAATGAATCGGGGGTCAGGTCGTGTATCTCGAACAATGATGCGGCACTTTTGTCGGTTACGGCCTGCATGATCACACTCAGAGTGTGTCAGTTTCATCGAAACTACTCCTA